CCCCAGAAACCCCCTCCCTCGTCTGCACTCACTCCTTCAGTGCTGCAGAGAAACTTTCTTTCAATGTTTTGTAATATGCCTAAAAAATATCCATCATTTGTCCGTCAATTTTACATTTTCAATAATAATATTGTTATTATTCTAGAACAAGTCTTATTCATTGATTTTATTCCAGAGCAGTTTAAATGAGCAAGTGGATCAGAGAAAATGAAGAAAAATAAGTAGTGAATAGGGCTGCACAATATTGAAGAAAAATGCGATACGCGATAACTTGTTAAATAATGCAATATTTGATGTGCAATAGGATAAAATGTAATTATATTGAAATATATTTAAAAACTGAAAATTATATATCCAACGTACACATTTCACATTCTTTTTGTGAGAAGAAAACATCCCTACAACTTCCGAAAGTGAACAGCAGTGTTTTACTGTAGTGTTACATAAAAAGTAAGTGTCATTTTACCATCAGGGAAAACCAGAGGGTTTAGGGTTGCAAGTAGGCCTACATTAGGTTTATTTAACAACAGAAATTGAATAATCAAATGTAAAAATAAAACACTGCTTAGTCTACACTGTATGAATTAAATATGTATTATTATTAAAGGACAAGTTCGGTATTTTACACTTAAAGCCCTGTTTAAAGATCGTTTCTGATGAAATAGAACGGTTAAGATTGAAATTTGGACACATGCTGCTGGCCCGAGAATTTTCGGTTTCTGTGGTTGCACCCCCCCCACCTCCACAATGGTTGCATAGGTGCACTGGAACAATCTTTCATAAAACGCATTAAACTTTAGTTTACAAAGACGTGAAAATCACCGAGTGGTCTGGGGTGTTCACTGATATGCTCACACAGAAATCGCTGCAAAAGATGCTTTCCAACAGGTTTTATCGTAGTTTTTGTCCAACTCCATTGACTTGACTTTGACAAAAACTACGATAAAACCTGATGGAAAGCATCTTTTGCAGCGATTTTTGTGTGAGCATATCAGTTTTATGAAGGATTGTTCCAGTGCACCTATGCAACCATTGTGGAGGTGGGGGGGGTGCGACCACAGAAACCGAAAATTCTCGGGCCAGCAGCATGTGTCCAAAGTTCAATCTTAAAGGAGCTGTATGTAAGAAATGTATTTCAATTAATCATAAAATGGCCCTGATGTGTCTCTCGACATTAAGAAATCATGTTCATTTCAAATACTTATATCACTGACAACAGTAGTACGGCCACGATATTGTCATTTAAAATGTGAAGTTGCAGCCCTCAACTGATGTTGATGTTGTCATGTTGTGTTTTGGCCTGAAGCCCCACCCTCCACCTATCTACCAATCACGAAGTCAGTAGTGTTTCGGCATCCGGGTTGCCAGCTTTGCTCTAGTTGAAAGCTCCTTGTAGCAGCCTACGTTCCTGCTGGATCCTGCAGCCTATCTGGCAACCTCGAGTCAGGGGGGAGGGGGAAGGGATACACCGCTCTACAGTAATTTGAAAGTGATTGCAGTACCAGTTTTGGCCACAATCTTACATACAGCTCCTTTAACCGTTCTATTTCACCAGAAACGATCTTAAAACAGGGCTTTAAGTGTAAAATACCGAACTTGTCCTTTAAAGTAAAAAAAATATTCCATCAAGAGCAGTGAGTGATTTTCTTTGTCTTTGATTAACATTAAGCACACAGACGGAAGCAGGTTTATTTGGCTGCTGCATGCATGGATCCATTATATTGTTACACGTGTGCTTCTTTCTCAACTGTTTTTACTTGAATACTCACCAAGATAGACATTTTGACATACATTTGTGTGTATTTGGCCATATAAGCTGCGGAAGATAACTGAATTCAGGATCACACACAGCGTGAGTGAGAGGCAGCTTTCTGTGCCCGTGAGTACTTCTCTTATGGCATTTAATATAGGGATGCACGATATATCGACCACATTCCACGATATCGTCCGATAAATGGTCATTTTTAATGTTATCGTTATCAATCCGATAAGAAAATTAGGCCGATATATTAAAGCCGATAGATAATGGATTATTTACTTCAGCTCAGACACTTGCACGATGTTCGCCATTATGGTTTTGAATTGCTTGATATGATTGGAATCACTTCGAAAAGGAAGAAAAGCCAAATCTGTCATATAGGCTTCATAACATAATGAGAACACGACTATAAAAGAATGTTGTGAATTCTTGTTCGCCAGTGTTTCAACGCAACAATCTCGTTGTAGCGAAAAGAGCGTGTCTACGGAGTCAAGCCTTCATGACAAGCACAGTCAAGTTCGCTTGAGCTTTCGTAACATTTTGTGCCATTTGTAAGTTGTAGTGTGTGTGTGTGTGTGTGTGCGTGTGTGTGTGTGTGCGTGTGCATGTGTGTGTGTATATATATATATATATATATATATATATATATATGATTAATCTCATATAGGACGGGATTGGTTGAGTTAATGAACGATGCAGTAAAGCGCTACATTGTACCGGTGATCATCTTTAGCTTTAGCGTGCACAGCTCAAACAGCAATGCACATTTATAACTATGATTGGGACTGTCATATACAATGACATTATAATGAGAACACTATTGTAATAAGACGTTGTGAATTATCTGGGTTTAGTTGCCGCTTCAGCGTGTTTTTGTGGGAATGGCTAAAACAGGGGTTACACATTCTGACCAGCACAGTCAAGTTTGCTTATGCATTCGCGTCATTTTGTGCAGATATAAGTCGTGATATTAAGTTTGTTATATAAATATCTGATTAATCTCATATAGGATGCGTTTCGTTGAGTTAAATAACCCGCTAGAAAAGTTATTCAGTTTCCCCGTGCTCATTCTCTTCAGCTTCAGTGTGCGCACTCAAACAGCAATGCAAAACATTAAAAGCTATGATTGGGACTGTCATACACAGTACATATCATTATAATTGTATACATTATTATTGTAATACATTTTGGGGTTAGTTGCATTCTTCAGCTTCAGTTTACGGGTATTCGTTCTCTTCAGCTTTAGCGCGCGCAGCTCAAACAGCAAAGATGTCATTTGAAACAGTAGGCCTAATATTACAGATGTTTAAGTCAAGTCACATTTATTTATATAGCGCTTTTTACAATACAGATTGTTTCTAAACAGCTTTACAGAGATAACAGGAAAATAATGCAACGAAGTTTGTTTACAGAAGAAAATAGCATCACAGTCCAGCTTAAGTAAGTTCAGTGATGTTTCAATTTGTTGTAAAAAAGTTATTAATTTAGTTAATTTATATATATATAGCCGCTCTGGAGAAAACCGTGATGTCATCGTCCAGCTCAGTTCAGTTCTCATATAATGGTGTCAATGCAGGCAGATCAATATTATTGTTGAATATTAAATTAAATGTTAAATTTAATGTCCCCAACTAAGCAAGCCAAAAGCCAATGGCAACAGAGGTGAAAAAGGCGACAAAGGCAAAAAAGGCGACAAAGGCAAAAAAGGCGACAGTGGCAAGGAACCAAAAATCCATCAGGTGGCAGAATGAAGAAAAAAAAACTTGGGAGAAACCAGGGTTGGGTTTCCCAAAAGCATCGTAAGCTTAAGTTGATCGTAGAACAATTGCCACCAATGGTCTCTACGATCAACTTAGGCTTACGATGCTTTTGGGAAACGCAGTCCAGACTCAGTCGGGGTGCCAGTTCTCCTCTGGCCAACGAACGAACAGTGTATGATTATAATTCAGGCAGTGTACTATTACTGTAATATTAAGCGTTATTTTTTTTTTTTCCAAAAACATTGATGCATTATTATTAATAACTATCACTTCTCGTATTATTTTCAGCAACAATATGGTTTGATTAAAATAATTTCCTTATTGTCCGTGCGGAGGCTATTTCATTTTATTTGTCCATGGCACATGCATTTTGTTTCTTTATATGCAGCCCAATGTTATTCAATGACTTGTTTGCATTATTTAGGTAATTTGTTTAATTTTAATTTATTGTTAGATAATATATTTTTTGGGAACACTTTACAATAAGGTCTCATTTGTTAATGCAACATGAACATTTTATTAACTAACACTAACAAAGGTTATTGCTCTCTGTTAGTTCACATTGCATTAAATGTTAACAGATACAACTTTGTATCTTAAAAATGTCTTAGAAAATGTTGAGATTAACATTAACTAAGATTAATAAATGCTGTAGAAGTATTGTTCATTCATTGTTGGTTCATGTTAACTAATGCTAACAAAATTAAACCTTATAGTGGTACCATTTTTTAATAAAAAAATTTGGCTATAGGAGTGTAAAATAAATTTTAAAAGTTAAGGAATCTTACACTGGTTCAAACTAGGCTATTGCATATGTTTGATTTATGTTGAAGTGTTTGGGACATGGCTTTTAATGGTGAGCCTTTTGTTTTTGTAATCAGGCTATCAAAGTATATCAAAATTTGAATTTAGATTTATCGGCCAATAAATCAAAATTTGAATTTAGATTTATCGGCCAATATATTGGTTATCGGCTTTTAAATGTAAAGAATTATTGGTATCGCACGTATGTAACAGTTATATCTCCAGTCTACTTTTTGTAATCTTTTGGAGTATTAAAATCATGCAGTAGACATCGGGATATGTACATTTGCGATATTTCGATGCTTGTGTTAAACATATTAGTAAAGACATCAGCATCATAGTTCATGAGTATATGCCTTAGTTTTACAGATCAACAACAGGAGTCAGGTGGTGAATTAGAATGATAATGTACAGTAAAGTGGTCTTTTGCCCCTGACAACTTCCAACTGTACAGTTTTACAGCAACTACTTTACTTAATTGTGGTTTGTTGATCACCGCATTTTCTGCTAAAAAAATGTTTTTCTATAATGTTTATTTGTTTGTTACTGTCAAAAGTTGTATATTTTTTAGTTAAGCAGTCAACGTTTTTATTCCCTTCTTACTTTTATTTTGTGTTAATTACTGTCACATAAATAGATGCTAACTCAATATTGTGTGGTGTTTCTACTTTTTACAGGAGTTTTTTGAGCATGCAAAGCATCTGTGGGATGATGAGGGGGTGAAGGCCTGTTTCGAGCGCTCAAACGAGTTTCAGCTCATCGACTGCGCAAAGTAGTGAGTATCTGTTGATATGTGTCAGCCTTACTCCTACAGTAGTGTTGTCAACTGTCATAGCGTGTCTCTGCTGAATTTCTGTGATGATTGCTGTGTGGAGATTTCTTGTTGTGTGCGGCACAACCCATTAGATTATGCAGAGTGGATATGTGTATTTGTGCGACCCACTAGTGCAGTGCAGTGTGTCCAAACTTTCTCTTCGTCCCACTTTTTCAGTATTTGGATACCTATACATCTCATGAATCAGTAAGATAAAACTTTTATAAATGCGTTATTTACAGAAATCGAGCAAAGAGTGCTCCCTCTATAATCACTGAAGCTGTCGATCACTTCAGTTCACCATGGGCTCATTGTCGGTTAAAAAAGCTGTCTACACTGCACAATGAAACTCTTATTCACATCATGTTTATTCTTTGGTTGTTATGAAAAGATTAGTGCAAGTGTGTAAAACTCAAGCTCACACTTCTGTTTAGAGATATTGAGTGGATTTGTACTAACTTTAACATTGGCCATTGCATTCATGCCCTCAAACGACATCTGTGATTGGCAACAATGCAGTGGATGCAATGTGTTCATCTGTTGGCCAGAACTGGTCCCTCGATTGAGCCTGGTTTCTCCCAAGGTTTTTTTCTCCGTACTGCTACCTGATGGAGTTTGGGTTCCTTGCCACTGTCGGCTCTGGCTTGCTTAGTTGAGGACACTTAATATTCAACAATATTATTGTTCTGACTGTCCTGACACTGTTGTATGAGAACTGAACTGAGCCTCGATGACGCCATTTTTTGCAGAACTGCTTTATATGAAATGAACTAATTTAATAATATTGATGATCTTTACAATGGATCTGAATCAACACTGAACGGACTTCAGCCGAAATGCATCATTTTTCCTGTTTATCTTTGTACAATAACAACTTTGAAATAGGGCTGCCACTAACGACTATTTTTGTATCGATTAATCAAAACGATTAATTTCCCACCAAAAATCAACAATTTAACGTAAGAACATTTTATGTCTTGCAACTTTGGCATTCAATAGTGTAACATTAAAAAAAAGTATAAATGTAAACTGTTTCAATTAAACCCCAACAGTTGGGTTTTCACATTAAACAAATGCAATGTTTAGAATCCACTGGAATCAAGTATTAAAATGTAATTAAAAAGTACTCTCAGAAATGTGTAAACAACAGATTTAAACAGACATCTCCAGCATGATGAAAAAAATAACAGAGAACTTCAGTAGTGAAACTCCAAATGGAATCCAAATTTCTATGAAATCCTTTAAAGCAAAAGTAAAGTTGGGCTGCAGCTATCGATTATTTTAGTAATCGGGTATTCTACCCATTATTCCATCAATAAATCGAGTAATTGGATAAAAATGTGGTAATAAAGATATATCCAAGTGAACAACAGCCTTTAAAATACAAATGTATAATAACAAGTAATAATAATTGGTTCAAATAAAGTATCAAAGTAATCATATGGGTTTTATTGAACAACAAAATACACCATGTAAAAAATTATATAAACTAATATAAACATAACTTATAATACGTGATGTATAACAAATGCCTGCAAAGGGCGACAACGGCCTGGTGATTATTGTTGTTACACTACGGCATGACCAAATCCTTGTTTAATATTGACCAAACAACATTTAATTCAATGTCCACTTAATCTTTAATATTTGGTCACTTTTGTATGATAGACATGCAATAGCCGCTGTAATTTCTTAAAAAAAGAACATGTGCACATCAAAACATGCAGACTCAGAGCGAGGGGTTAAACTTTTATTTTGAAATCGCAATGAACAACAATTCACATATTTAGAAACACATTTATGTATTCTCCTGTGTTGGCGTAGATTTACAAATGAGTTGCGTTACAAATCTTGGAAATGGCACACTGCGTTACCAGATGAACGTTAAGCAACCCAAACTCACAGCATGAGAAACCAGAGACGCGCTCCACACATATAAATAACAGTTGTTGCTGTTGAAAAAAAAACCTCACTGAGTTCGAGTGAGTGCCAAAATACACACAGGGACAGGGAGTATTAGCTTTCCGTGTCAGAAACGCATGTCAAACTGAAAAATATCAGGCTTTTATAAAACCCTCATTCTCTATCGAGCAACAACGCTGACGGCTGTTGCCAGTAGGGCTGCACGATTAATTGCAACGAAACTGCACGTGATTTGGCAAAGGCTGCGATTATTTTATGCACAGCTTGTCAGTGCAGTGCGGCTCATCGGTAGTAAATGCTGCTTCATCTGTGTCAAATTTACCTCAGAAAAGCCATGCTCAATCTCGTTAGTCAGCTAGAAATAAAACTATAGAAAGGGACATTTTGCTAAATATATGCACTATATCACATAATCCTTATATTTTCACCTAACCTGTTGTCTACATGAGAAAGAATGGAAGGATCTAAAAATAAAATTCAACATCGCCCATATAATTCCATGTGAAGAGCTGCCTTTCACCAAATTTACCTCTCAGATTTTAGTAATGAAGACATTTTTTTTGGGTGTGTGCAAGACATACGACAATGTTTATAGGATGCATTAGGAGGAGGCCAAACTACACTCATTGGCCAAGTGATGCTGACATTATTATGGTCTGTGACACTCTCAGATTCTGTGTAAAGAACAATTCTTTGTGACTATGTTCTCAAGTTGGAAAAGCAATTCGCCTTTGGCTAAGCCACACCCTAGAATGTAGATTGACCAATCACAGCGCAGCCAAGAACGAGCTCCCACAGAGGTCCGACACTTTTTCACAGCGCTCCATTGACTTTAACACAGCCGTCTCATATTTTTGGTCTCGGCAGGCTATTACCGTCGTAGTTTTATCAAAAATATGGTTAAACGTTGTGCCTGGGGCATTTGTAACACAGATACGCGTTTCCCAGAGAGGTTGGAGGGGGGTGTGCGTTTTTTTCCCTTCCCAAAACCGAAGTCAAATCCTGACAACTAAAAGTGTCGTCTAGCACACGCTGCTAATAAATACAACGTTATACTCGCGTAGTCCGTTTGCTTTGTAATAACGATTATAGAAGTGAATAGAGACCTACCCAGCTTTGCATGAACAGTGTTGCTCCTTGATATTGTTAGTCCCAGCCTCCGTCTCGATTAGTACGATATGCGGTGGTTCATTTTTTGACTGTGACCGGTATGCATTGCCTCTATTTTGGATGCCTTGTTGTTCCTTGCGTTTCACCTGTATGTCATGAACGTATGCCTTCAAACGTATATCGCAGCCCCTTTTGACTACTTCTATCGGACACTTTATTTGCTGCTTTATAAAAGTTTGATAAAATTTCAGCAGGAAGAGCTGTCACAGCATAAGCCATGTTGATACCAGAGCCCAGATGAAGTTTGTTTGTCGGACGTAGCAACAGTAACTAAGGGGGGCGGGGCCTAGCCAAAGGCGAATTCAATTCCTATTTTAAGTGAATCTCAGTCCCCAGGACATCCACAAGATGGATGAAAATGCTGATGCTGTAAAAGGAAGACAGACGTGACAACACATGACAAAATTAAAACATTTATTATTTTGTGGCACTTAAAATTATTTGGCGAATATGCAGAAATATAGTAACATCGTAATGACATGGAGTAACAACATTAGTCCTTCATTCCGTCCCCTTGATTGCCGATGTTAAGCAATTCAATATAAAATATACATACAGTATATTTAGGAGCAAGATATAGTTATTGATATTAAATGTGTAACGGTTCAAACTGCTCACGGTTCGTTTTGTAAGTATTTTGTAAGTATTTATTTTAAATGTTGACATGTCCTCAAAAAGATGTGTAGAAAATAGGCCTGTAATTACCATAGACTGTATAAAACCAGGCACCTCAGCTCCACCCACATCCCGCCTCTTTGCCTATTTTTGGTTATCCGGGAGTGACGCGCTACCAAGATGGTGAGGGCTGGCTCCACCCACTTTGGGCTACAAAAATGCTCTTCAGAAACCTACGGGTGACGTCACGGACACTATGTCCATTGTTTTATAAAGTCTATGGTGTGGATGGTAAGTTAGTTTAAAATGTTTGTGATACTAAAGTTTCACGTTAGAGAAGTGTCATGTTTAAATGTTTTGCTACTTGCTTGAGGATCTTATTATAGAAAACTATATATAAATAATGTGCTGAATATATGTTGTTTATATTTGTGTTTAAAGCCATGGACCAGTAGTGCACTGTAAACAGATCTTCTCTGAAAGCTATTATCGTGTGCTGCTTCTGCACCGCATACGTACTACAATACATACGGCATACGTACTGCAAACGGACCATGTGTGAAACATGCTTAAGAAGCGTGCCTGCAGTAATCACAGTGACCATCAAAGTTCCCTCTATGCTGCGCGCATAATTGAAGGTCCTGCGCAGCGCAATTTTAGACTGCACAAAAAATGTAACAACTACAGAGTAGGTGCGTCCACTCAGTAAGCAGCAATGTCAACATCTTAAGAAAAAGGTTTGTTTGACTTTCAAACAAGAATGGCTTAATGAAGTTCATACGAATACAAGTGATGGTCTTGGTAAAACAATTAAAATGTCTGACATATTCAGCTACAGTTAGTGGTATTGTGTGCAAAATTGGCTCTGAAGGGAAAACCAAAAGAGAGTTTTCTGCCAGGAAAACGTGGACAGAGTGGAAACTTGACTACCTAAAATGACACTTAAAAGGTAGGTATAAAGGAGGTGTCGGGAAGGAGACCCAAACTTGTGACATCTGAGAAGGACTGTACTTAGTGTTGATACAAAATCCTCAATCTCCCCAGGTTGTCCGGTCAGAACAATAATGAGGACGACTTTTACACTCTCATGCCACTCTTTAATGAAACAGTTTGATATAGATGTGAGTTTTGTTCATGGTTTCTAAAACAAACAAAAATAAATTTTCTCTGTTGCGTTCAGTGCTTCTCTTCTGCGCTCAGTGCTTTCTTCCGGAAACAACGGACCATATGAGATTCCAAGTCACAGTTCAGCT